GACAAGTGGTGGGGACAGGTTTCGGAGGAGGCGAAGGACCTTATAAGAGGCGTTATGGAAAAGGACTGTAGTAAAAGGTTAACAGCGGCTGAGGCTTGGGAGCACCCCTGGATGAAGCGCTACCGGCCCAGCACCGATTTGGTCTATTTGAGTCCGGAGACCTTCGATTCTTACGTCCATGCTAGTAAACTGCGGAAGGTTGCGGTTAACGCCATCGCATATAACTTGTCAGTGTGCTGTTGTTCTGAGTGGATTCGAGAGATCTTTAGGACGTTCGAGGCATTGGATATCACGGGTTCGGGCACGATAACATTGCCTGAGTTCAGAATTGCTATGAAAAAATCGAGACCCGATATGCAGGAGGCTAAGATTGATGAGCTTTTCGCTGGCATTGATACGGACGCGAGTGATGCTATTGATTATACGGAGTTTCTAGCAGCGGCAATTTCACAGGTCACATTCTCCCGCACTGATCTGTGCAAGAAGGCGTTCCGGATTCTGGACCGGAAACAAGATGGGAAGATATCTTCAGACGAGTGGAGGCAAATCATGGGTACCACCACACATGACGACGACTTGGATGAACAATCTATAGCTGAGCTCATACGGGAGTTCGATATCAATGGTGATGGCTTTATCGATTTCCATGAATTCCTTGCTATGATGCAATCGTATGACGTTGGTTCTTCGTTGCCTTGAGCTGCTACTTCTTGAATGACAATAACTATTTTCCGTTGTTCAATCTAATACCATCATTATAACATATACTATCATCTCAGACCCTGCTCTATCTCCTTTGCCTTTCTTTTGTTAACGAATTGGCTTATCAGGGGGTATACGATATCATTCATCTCTTGTTATGATCACACAGCAGAGTCGGCAGTATTCGCGAAGTTTGACTAGGCCTTGCTCGATAAAAAATAAGTGTTGATTTAGGGAAGTGTTTGCGGCTTCAATGTGATTAGATGGGAATTGGAAATTTACAAGGCAATTCACACAGCACATTCATACCACTCCTTCGTCGCATCCTGGCGGGATAATTCCACAACTCAATACCATTCCTC